AATAATTAATAGATCTTACGTTGAATTCCTTGTCCCAAATGGCAGTCAGTGCCAGGTACTTCTATGATTTTACCCGATTCTACAAATGACTGACCAATAAGTCCAATGACCAGGATAGTCACCAATATATTGAATGCCATTCTCAGTACTGGTTTTATAAGGATAGTAAATACTAAGGTTTTAAATAAAATGCTAAGTAAGATCTGCATAAACTATAAAAACTTATGAACAGTACTATTAAGAATTCGACATTTATATACAGATTTTTGTTACAATATTATAATTAATATTTATTAGTATCATTATAATATAATATGATTTATTTTATTTAATTGTATGAAACGTTATTAAGAATTGTATTTGTTATAGAAAATTTATTATTAAATTTTTTAAATGAATTAGACTTTGACATAAGTTTCATAACATAAGTTTCACGACAATCATATTAATCAAATATCATTAATTATCTCTTATAACATCTTAACCCTGATGATGGTCTCAGTGTTGTATTAATTTTATTTTTAACTCCTTAACACATAAATATTGAAACACAAAGTCTTCAATGAATTATACTTTTTAAAATAATATCTTAGTTTTCGTACAAAAGTATCTTTTATTAAGCATACAGGTACTTTTTATATTGTAAAATGTACTTAATATTATTGCTTTTTGTATTATAATTATAAAATCTATAGTAATAATAAAATAAAGTTTTAATAATATCATATTTTATTATATTTAATTAATTATATTTTCCAATTAAAAATACACAATTTATATTAAAATAGTTATATTATAAATTTAATAAATTTTATCATATCTTATTTTATTAATTAATCTTTTATTTTCATCTTTATTATTTTGCATTTATTTAATATTAAAATTTTATTCATATAATATCAAACAAGAACAAATGTTATTGATTGTACCTGGTTCACCTGACTAAAAAAATAATTCACAGAAATCATTACTTTTATTACTTATTTTTCACAATATTATGAATCATATATTATAAATTTATCTAAATTAAATAAAAATAATTTAGTTTAAATAAAATTATACTTAATCTTAAAGAATACAATATAATTTTAATAATTATCTAAAATTTAGAAATTAAATATTTAAGTTACAACAGTTAATTAAATAATAAACAAACTAACTTTAATTTGAATTGCACAAATAAAATTGATCTTGAGTACAGCACTACATTAATATACATTATAGTCAACTATTTTCTTAATAAAAAACATCAGTTTAACTTAAGTTTTGCTATTTTATGCATAATTGACACAAATATGAATCAATTGGTGGTCTCCTTGTCGTCGTCGACAGTCTTCTCGATGAGATCGATGGCCCGACAGCATGAGTCGCATCGCTTGCAAACCTCCACTTTCACCCGATCCATGGTCTCCATAGTCATCCCCGTCTGTTCAAACATATCTGAAATGCACAATCAAATAGTTGACTTATTATAGATAAAAATATTTCAAATTCACAAATACTTACGTGCAATAGCCTGACCAAGGTGACAATTAGTGGTACCGGGAACGGCTATTTTTTCGGCACATTCAACGCTAGTACAGTGAATGTATAGCACCACCAAAATTATGCTCAATAAATATAACTTCATTGCAGTCAGTGGTAGTTAAATGTGTATTAGTTTTAAATAATTTCAATTGAATGTGAATATAGTTTGTGTGCATTCATTGGTTTTATAGTCACATAAATGTAATAAATTTATGAAACCAATTGTCAAATCCATATGACTTTGTATTTTAGGCATTAATCAGTGGACAGACAATTGCTTTCATTTCATATAAAACTTATAGTTTTCATTAATTTGTCTATAGTTTTGGCATTGAAATGCAAATGAAATATTTGTGAATGAAAAACAAAAATATTATTAATTTTGCTTAATTAAATTTATTAATCGTATAGATATTTTATTATCAATAATTATTAAAAATAATAAAAGTTTTGATGCATTAGAAAAATAATGTTTTCAAATAAATAATAGATAAATATTATTACGTATTCTTAACTATGGTATAAGTATTTTATATATTTATTAAAATTTCATTTAATGAATTTCAAACATAAGCATAACTTGAATCTAAAATAATTTTAAAAGATTTATATATATAAATTATCATTAAATTCATTTTGTTTGAAGTATTTTTTAAATTATGGGTTTTTTTGTAACCCTTAACAAAATATCAATATATAAAATTTAATGATAAATCTAACCAAGTCGTGCAAATAGGGTGGACCCGATCATCAAATACCTCTACACCAATTTACAAATAATTATCAATATAATTTTAATATCATTATAAATAACCTTGTAGAATTCTCAATCTCAATATTATTATTATATGTATCTTGATATTGTTTTTAGTTTCATTATTATTTTTAACAAATTATTAAATACCTTATAAGCTATATTATGTAAATATTTTACCATTTAAATATACTTATAAACTAGTCATTATATTTATATTTTTGAAAACTTTCTTTAATTTCATTAATTGAATTGGAAATTAAATTTTAATTTTAAGCAAATTATTCGATAGAAAACATTGAAACACCAATAGTCGCCAACACTTATCCAGGTCTTTATCTATTAAATTATATTTTTATAAAACACTGGAGACGTGTGTCGGGTGTGGGCACCGGCCGCCGCCATAGAAATAGACCCACAAGTACTTAAACACCTGTTTCTGGAGATACAAATGAAAGGATCAGGGTTATCATTGGGATAAAGTCATATACATCCACTGAAATTACCACACATACTGTTAATACACTGGGGGTGAAATTTATTACACACCTGACCACCATATATACTTGAGCATTGTACCAGGCTAATTGTTTAATAAAATTAACAGAAAACAATTATAATTCTTGTAATTAAAGTTATGACCATGTTGATACTTACAATTTGTTTATTCATTTTGGAATATTTGAAAATCCTATGCAAACTATACGGCACTGTAAAGTAACTGTAACATAATGAAGCAATTAATTGACATTGCTAAATACGATTGATTATAGAGTATAATCTTGTTCATATATAATGTACGATCTGTTTGGACACAGGCACTGGTATTACTAGACAAGATATCCACACAACTGTCCGGTTGGTCGACATTATAATCAAAGACTCATTTTTGTTGTGTCCGACAAAAGTGGACCTAATTTTGGTGACCGACTCAACCGGATCTACGACTCCGGACTCAACCATTGATTATGTCTACCGTTGAGACACATCAATAGGGATGTGAGTCTCGCACCGGACGGACCTATAATTACAGTGAATGCCATGAAATCCATGCAATACTGTCCTCTCATTCCTACCAAATATTGACCTAATCTTAAGGCACACGTTAATCCACGCGATCGCTGTCTTCCCACTTACATCCCTGTCCACCCATTCACTCATCATATGAATCGCTATAATATTTATTTTACTTTTTTAAACACAGCATTAATATTATATTTTATAAATATATTAAGTTTCCCATAAGATTGCCACAAATATCATAGTATCGCTATCTATACACTCATATTTATATGCATTGAATTATTTATTGCTAAACAGTAAGGTTATGACAAATTGAACCCTGTACGGAAAGCACTAATACGAGCTTTCAAACACGATTTTCTGATTTTACATTAAGATTATGACCTAGGTACAAATTTTATGCAAATTTGGTGATATAGGCATAAAATGTTCATTATTGGTGTTTTCAAATGTTTAATATTTTAATTTTTAATACGAAATTCTTGGTTTCAAAATAAATTATATTAACTTTATGAAATATAATTTAATAAAAAATACTATCGTAAATGAACATAGATTATTTTTAAAATAATATTTAAAATGTTATTTTAATTTAAGAAATAAGTTATATAAGATGTTTGAATAGTACCTTGTTTTTGATTATAATGAATTTCTTAAGTAAATTACGATATCATATAAAATATTTAATGAACAAACATGTGGCATTTTATTATATTTTTGAATTAAATTTTAATATTATGTCAGTATATTCAAATAAATACAAATCGATACAGCTATTAGGTAATATCAAATGAAATCTATAACAATTCAAATATAAGTTATAAATGACTAAATAAAACTATTGGCATATTGTCAAGTACATTTATTTGTATTTTGACATTTAAGTGCATCTGAATTTAGGCATTATATAACTATTATAACTATTATATAATACTGCACTAGTTTTGTAGTTATATATTTGAAATAAGTTAGAAATAAACCACAATACAGTACATATTCGTTGAAAATATTGTGCAAGTAATGTATTTATTGAATTCTGCTGTATTAAGTATGCAATTTACTTTATTACTAACATAATATGTGCTAGGGAAAGTTGAAAGGAACTCTGTACCTTTAATGTTTTCAAATAATTACCATTGAATGCTTTATTTTTTTATTGTATTCATAGTCCAAGAAACCTTAATTACACCTAAACAATTAATGCTGTATTATTAATTAAGTCTACAGTTCCCTTCAACTTTCCCGAGTACATTTTACTGTACACTGTAATGCATGTGTATTCAATGTAAATTAAATCAATATGCCCCATACAAGAAATATCGTGATTTCCAATCATTTATCTATTTTTATATGAATGAATGATAAATAGTTATCGCAAGCGACATATAAAATTTAAAAAAAATTTCAACATTAAGTACTAATAAACAACAGTTAAAAGTCAGAGTATTCAGTGAAAACACATTGAATAGTAAAATGGGTGATAAAATAAGCAGATTTTTTAAATTTAATAAAAGTGAACATAAAGTATACACAAATGACATCCTATTAGGCCTTAATAAATATGGGTTAATATGCGATTCTGATATATTAAAAAAATATACGGAATATACCACTATAAGAGATAGTAATCATAATTTTAAAGCTCATAGACTGGCGCTTCATATATGGCTCAGAGTATTGTTTGTCATCTATTTTATAATATGTTTTCTAACCATACAATTGATGGGAGAAATTCCTAAATATTACTTTGATATCAGCCATCATTTGGGAGGAATTCCGGAGTTTATATACTCAACAGAATTACTGAATTCCTTGTATTCCTTGTGCTCCATATATATATTCAATTGCAGTCATTCAACACATTATGAATGGCTTCGCGTTATACAACTACTCAGAAGTCATGAAATGCTGTATTTATTTGGCAAAAGTCACATAAATATGAATAAACTTCACTCGTTATTAAATAAAATTAAATTAATGCTTAAATTAACCCCGATTCTCATTAATATATTCGTTGCATTATTTTTCTCATTCGCCGCTTCTCTATCATTATTTATTTATGATTTTCACGATTTTCTAATCTATGGTATTATTGGGATATT